CCCCCCGTCCTGATAAAGTCCAGTCTGCTCTGATTGGCCAGGTGGTCCGCTCTGTTGTGATTGGTCAACCAGTAAAGGTGTAGACGAGCTCCTCTTACCACCGACTTTTTTTTTTTATCTTTGAGGAGCTTTCTCATAAAATGGATTTATCACCTTCTGTGTCTCAGACAACCAGTGCAGATAAAGTCTGAACGCTTTCTCTCGACGGCGTTCTTAAGTTAATGTGTTTGTGATGTTTAAGAGACGTTGACCTTTAACCACAATAATTATGAGATCATCCCTGAGTCCAAATTAACATTTGTACCGAATTTGAGGGAATTCCTTCGAGGCGTTCTCGAGACAACTTGTTCACGAGAATGGGACGGACACAAAACACGACGCCTCCAGCAGTGGGCCGTTCCTCTAACACGCTGGTGGAGAGAAAAACTGAAAGATCATCGTGTGTCTCCTTCAACACGTGGTTGTGATGTGCAGCAGGTCGAACACATGTGCGGGCGTTTGTTCACACAGTCGTGTAAACACACGGTCACAGGTAATCCCTTTACAACCTCAAGGCCAGCAGCTCTTATCAGACCTCAGCCCACCTGAACCAGGACGTGCACTCCTCCACCTCGCTTCACTCTTCATCGCCCCAACGTACATCGAGCGTCTTCATCAGTCAGGCGCCATTCATGTGATGTCACTTCTGTCTCAAGATTTTTTTTAAGTCTCTTAACATTTAACGTGACATTTACTGTTGAATATCCCTGACGTCCTCACTAACCTTCACAGAGCTGATTTCAGGCACTTTGCTCTGTTTCAATGAAATTAGTCTTTTATAGAGTTTAAAGGTTTAAGAACTTTATTATCTCACGTCTTTTATGCCTCCGGAAACAGTTTTATTAGTTGTGTTATATCTGTTTCCTGTGTCCCAGTATAGAACTTTTTGGTCTCGTTTGTCATCATTAACTCCTTTTGAAACACGTTTTGCCGCCGACCCGCAATGAATCCTGGGATAGATTGGCCTGAGAAAGATAATCCCGTAGAAAACCTCATTGCTCGGGTTTGGAAAGACGCATTTTGAAACAGGACAGCGTAGTTGAACCGTTGTGATGCCATCGGTTTTCAAATGAACCGTCCGAAGGAAGTGGACCATGAATTGCGACGCAGCTCATGTAATGGATTACTTTGGTGACTGGAAATTATTTTTTTCAAAAAGCACCTGGAGATTGAAGATTGAATTGTTACACAAAGTTGTTTTTTTATAAATTAAAAAATACAGAGAGAAACTTTTTTAATAGATTAAAAACTCTAAAAGTTTATTTTAGATAGTTTTCTTCTGGTTGCAGCATTTGACAGTCGTTTAAAACGAGTCACACAGATGCACATTATCCAACAGCGACGGCCTGAGACAGCCCACTAAACTGTGCGGCCAGCGTTTGCGACGGTTTGCAGATGAATGCCATTAGCAGCACTTTTAGCTTCAAATATTTTTGCCAAGTATCAGGGGAGGTCTCTCTCTCTCTCTCTCTCTTTCTGAGTCTGTCTCATCAGTTTGTCTGGAAAACAGCCAGACACGCTGGTCCCCTGTCCACATCAATGCACTCCTCGAGAAAAACACAACACCAGGGGCTTCAAAGACACGAGTGAACGGGACGTCACAGCTCGACACAAACAAAACTCAGAGAAATGTCTCGATTGCTTACACACACACACACACACACACACACACACACACACACACACACTTGTAAACTCTACTTAACCCATGCAGGGTTGCATTTGCACGCGCTAAAATTGACATACACTTTGCGAAGTATACCGTGCAGTATCACAGACAAAACACACGCACGCATGCACACACACACGCACACAGACACACGCCCCCCCCAGCTTCTCTCAAATGAATACTTTTTGTTTTTTAAAACAAGCGTTTATGTTAAATGAATAATTTCTGGCTTAAATTATACATTTTTTCCCCTGCGGTCCACAACCAAAATTACACAGAGTCCCAGCTATTTTCTCCCTGTTTGAATTGTGTCCTGCATTCTTGTGTCCCAGCGGTGTATTTAAAGCGCCCGCCGAGGACCATGGCCTTTCTTTAATTAGCTCAGCCCAGTAATTAGATGGGAGATATTGTTTATTTCAATTATAAGGGTCTGAAGGCTTTTATAGAATGGATGGGAGCAGACCTGTAGTTTATGGCTTCGGTCAGTGAACAGTTAACGGTGGTCAGTCGGAGAGAGAGAGGGAGAGCATTGTTGCAGTGCCACGTCTGACAGGCCACAAAGGGTCACTGCAGCAGAACATGTCCATAATTCACCGGACACCTGAGGTCAGGCCGACGGTAAATTACAGTTCTTGCATTTAGGTCCCACGTTCTCACGGAGCATCACTCTCTCCGAAAGGCATCAGTAGTTAATAAATAAATGATCAATGCTTCATAATTACTTATCTTCGTTATAAAAACGTATTTTGGGTGTGTGTGGATATTGTAACTGTTATATTTTTACTCTTTATCTTTACTAAACACTAAACCGAAGCTTCAGGACGCCGGTCGGTTGCAAATCCATAATTACGGCTACAGGAGTAAATATTTGTATGCGTATTTTTGTCCTTTTTTTTTGGACCGATTGCTCCGGACATTTCCTCAGACTGAGTTTCTTTGGGTCAGCATGAAATTACTCCCACCTGAGAGACAAGAGTCTTTACAGTGAGGGACTGAACTCTGTAAATCAGACCAAGCCACATGGGAGGTCTCTCTGTGGCCATGGGTCGTGATTCGCTTCATAATTATTGTGGATAATAGGTTCACTCCTGAGATCCGACAACATGGCATCCAGATAATTGGAAAAGTTTTTCACTACACAGAAACATTCATTTACTGGCCAATAAAAATCATCTGATATGAGCTTTTCACAGACACGTGTATCTGCCGTCATGTGCAGCGAAGTGAGAACTTCTGTTTGTAGAGAAGTTGTTAATTATAAAAACTGAACCTCACGTGTAAACTAAAAACTAAATCCTCTTGTCTTCGAACACATCCGTCACAGTTTGTTCAACCCTGACGTGCTGGACTCTCTTTACCTCGATGCTACTATAGATCATCCGGTGGCTTGTGTACAAACCCGCCTCACCATCCTCCTCAGACTTTGCTGCGGTGACGTCTCCTTGTTGCCAGATCCCACCCTGACGGGTTATCAGGAGTTCCCTATTTTTAAATTAAACACACAGTTGTGGATCCATAAATGACAGGAAGTCACCAATAAAAAAGGTTGTTCAACCAAAATAAATCATCAAGTGGGGGATGTGTAAATGTTGAGTTATTAAATATGTGCCGGTTCAGAAGCAGCTTTATTGCACCAGGTAGAACATCGGGGTCGTCTAATAAATGACAGAGGTAACTGGAAAGACAAAACTCAAAATATTCACATTATAAAGTAGTTTATTTACGTACGGGTATTATAATTACTCATGTAAAGACATTTTAAATCACTACAAGTCTTTATATGTTGTTATTTATCGTCCTAATGAAACAGCAACCAAACCTCATGGCTGCTTATGAGTTGCAGATTAATTATAACACTAATATCTGTTGACAAATACATAACAGTTTGATATAAACTGCTTATAACTGCTCTTATGTGAGTTTAAATTAACCGTTAAATTGAAAACCCTTTATAACGTGCGTCTTACATGTGTTTCAAAGTGAGTTGAACCATCACTTTTCATGAAAACCTTGTTTCAGAATTCTTTGTGTTTATTTGAAGTGTTTCAGAGAAGATGGACACTCCCAGAAAAGACAGCATGACACATATCTATCAGACTTATTGCAGCACGGGACAGTGGGAATATTGTGCGTACGCGTGTATTAGTGTGTCTGTGTGCATACGCATGTGTGTGGGTGTGTGCGAGTGTTGATGGAGTCGGAGACATTAGTGGGTGTTTGTGTACGGATTTGCGTTTGTGCGGATGGGTGCACTCAGACATGAGCCAAGCCACGAGCCGGCCACATGAAAGCGTGTCTCTGGGAGGTGGAATTTTAATGTGGAAATGGGAACAATGATTTCTACTTTTAAATGTGGACAAGAAGCAGAGCCCATTGAAGAGCCGAGCAAAAATGATGGCTCAATTATTAATTCATTTACCATCACACTGTGAGTGTGGGCGTGCGCTTGCATGCGAGCTGGTGCATGTACGTGTCCGCGTCTCAGTGTGCTGTCATGTGTCCTCTGTGAGTTTGTGTTTGTCTGCTTATTCACGCGTTTGCTTCCACTCGACTGGGCATTAGCGAAAAATGGTTACGACTTATTTTCAGATGCTGTGGATGTCGCACGCTGACGATAACCAGCAGCATTTTTGTGTTTGTGAGCGAGAACAAAAGAGATGAGAGGAGGAAGGGCTCATTGTTTTCCTTCTGTCATAAAGTCATCTTATAATAGTTATTTTATTCCTGTCTCTTAAAATGTTCCTCATTAAATCGTCGACAAAATAAAAATGTTTTGCGTGTGAAATTCACGTTATTACATGTGTAATATTTTATTTCACATGCTTTGAATTTACAAATATTCCCTCATATAAAACTAAGTAAACTAAGTACATATATTGATGGATAGAACAAGGAACGTTCCATGTGGCTCAGATGAACTAAAATTTATACTGTCGCTGAAATAAAACGGTTTCTGGTTCTGCTTGGTTCTGAAATGCCTCCATGGTGGTCTCTGGTTCCTCTGGGGTTCTTCCCTGCCCTGAGGGGTCCGGTCTATTCCGTTCATACGAGAGAATTAAATGATGCTCCGCCGATGACCAGATAATTAACAACACAGCCCGACTGGAATCAAATATAACTGAGCTCTGAAACCCGGTGGAAGGAAGAAAGACATAAAGGAATAAAAACACTTACAAAAAAGAGAGAAAGAAAAAGATGGGGAAAGATCAGGACGGAGAGGGGAGGATGTGGGGGAGGGGAGTTGGGGGAGAGAAGGGGACAGAAAAAGAGAGAGAGAGGGGGACTCTGCAGGACCCGTCTGGATCTCATTTGGAGGATAGTAATGTGATTAGCTTTGTTTAGTTTTCACAGCTCCAGCCAGTCCCCATAAAGAACCTATATATGTGTGTGTGTCTGAGTGTGTGTGCAGGGGTGGTGTACATGTGGGCTTGTGTGTATTGTTTTGTGTTTGTGAGCTTTTTCTTGCTCTTGAAGAAACGGAACCAGAATTGGTTTGAATCAACAGGGAGAGGTTTCCTGGAGACACACAAAGTTCCGTTCAACGTGTAATCCTGAACATCTCTTGAGCCCGTTGCAGAGTAATCTTCTATCTGCATCGTTTTAAAACCTCCTCAGTCACCTGGCTACAGCTGCAGGAACCTTCTCTCAGACTCCGGGCGCTCAGCTTTCCACCATCACTGTTTAATTGGCTCCACTAATCTCACCGCTTAGAATCAATGACTTGTGCCCCTTGACCGGTCTTGGTGTCAGAATGAATTTGTGTGAGCGTGCAGGCAGGTCTGCAGGGTCCCCAGCAGACTCTCCTCGCACTGTCCCAACACCTTACACCTGAGAACTGTGTGTTCTTGTGTCACGTCAAAATGTTGAAACCAATAAAAAGTGTGTGAAATCGTCCCCGTCTCTGTCCAGGCATCATCAAGGTGGGAAGGTGGAACCCTCTCCCCATCCACTTTCTGACCGACGCTCCGGAGGCTACAGTCGCCGACATGCTGATGGAGGTCTACCACATGGTCACGCTACGTATTCAACTACAAAGGTCAGACCAGTTCAGAAGAAACATTTCTGTTAACGAGAATAAAAGTATGACCTTCTAAATCGGAGGCTTTTACTACTTACTACTACAAAACAACACTGCAGAGTCTGCGTGTCCATATTTTATAGAGTCAGAAATACACCATGAGTAGAAATACTGAAGCAGCAGAGCTCCAGTTAAACTTCATCCATTATCTGTGTCTGTCAGGGAGAGTCAGGAACTCTTAGTTCCTCAGATTAAGTGAAGCAGAGTCTTGATGACGGGATAAAAACAGATAAACTCCACATGAGGGGGTTATTATTGTAACTGTCTCTGCAAATACCGGCCAGGTTTGTTTACGCGTGTATGTGAACGTCGGTGGCAAACGGCAGAGCTTTGGCAAACTTCAGTGTCGGAATGCTGCAAACAGAAAGTTTCTCCAGAACGTCTGAGACAGATTCATGGGCTTCATCTGGGGTTAAAGGAATAGTTTCACTTTTTTTTTTTTTTTTTTTTTTTGTAAAAAACGATAAAGTCAGTTTCTGGCTGAGAGTAAGATGGGAAACCAGATAACACTTTCATGTCTGGGTATATGAAGCTACAGAAAGCAGCTGATTGGATTAGCTACATGTCCAGAGTTAGCAGCAGTCTCAATAAACTTCAAGCAACTGCCAGCAGCCAGTTTAGTTTAGCGAGACAGGAACCAGGACAAAGCAATGGATCAAATTCAATCAATCGCATTTCATTTGAATAGCCCATATTCTCAAATCACAGTTCGCCTCAGAGCGCTTAACGCGGTGTAGCCTGACTTTGTCCACAGGTAATTAAACTAATTTAGCAGCTAATTAACGGATGTGCAACAACTTGTGCTAACCTTTGCTAAACTGTGTTTCCTTTGTGCGGAGCCGGGTTCACCCTTCCCCCCATTTCCTGTATTTAGTTGAAATTATAAGTTGATTAATCGATTGAAAGAAAGTGGATTTACAATAATTTTGATAGGTGATTAAATGCTTTTTAAAGAAACACGTGAGCTCTCAGGTATGAATATTTAAAAGTTTTTCTTAACATTTTTGACTTAAAACAAAACATCTGAATATTTCTGACCCACAAGCTTCTTGGATTAATGATGTAAATATTCTCACTAATAACAATACAATGATACGATAATGATAATTATTGGTCGCAGTTACGGTTTTACTAAACTTGTGGAATTTCCTTATACAACAAAGTTATATGATTTTAAATAATCAACTGTAATGCAGAATAAGCATTACATTTGGACACAACATAATTGACATTGAGCTTTTGTGAAGTTTATTTATAACAAGCTCACATTCAATAAAAAAAAAATGCAGAAATGAAATGCGGCAAACCCGGAGCTTCTGGGTAATTTATCTGACTGGTTGTGTGTGGGTTGTAGTTTTTCGAAGCTGGAGGACCTGCCCTGTGAACAGTGGAACCACGCGACCGTCAGGAACGCTCTCAAAGAGCTGCTGAAGGAAATGAACCAAAGCACTCTGGCCAAAGAGTGTCCTCTATCACAGGTGAAGAGTGGAAACACACAATAACACACGATGCACGACTACTTACACCTTCTTATCAACACAGTGACGGTTTGTGACATCTGCTCGCTAGAATGATGAATCGCGCTGTACGCTATTAGTCTCTCTAACTAAAACATCACATGTTCTGGATGAAGACTAAAGGCGGATCTGATGAAATTTAAAAACAATCCTACACTGTATTGATTATTGGTATTGCATTTTAATCAAGTTCCACTCAGCACAAAATTAATCACTGTCTCCTGCTTGATCGTGTTGAACTCCCCAGCTGCATGTTTGGCCTTCCTCTCTTCATAATCATTTGTGTGTGTCAGATCTGTGTGTGTGTGTGTGTCTGTGTGTGTGTGCACACTGAGTTTAAATGGAGCTCTGGTGGGGGTGTTGATCGCAGCATCAATTGCAAGCATATGTGTGTGTGGCTGGAGATTCCCTTTCTGCACTGTACTGGCTCGAGTTTCCATGGGTGGCTTCCAATCATGATTAATGTTTGTCTATTTCTATAATGTGTGTGTGTGTGTGTGTGTGTGTGTGTGTGTGTGTGTGTGTCATGTGGTTGTTGCGTGAGTGTAAGCATTTCATATTATGTTGGTTGTTAATTATCTTTCCCTTCTCTCTCTCCGCCTCAGAGTATGATCTCCTCCATAGTGAATAGTTCGTACTATGCCAACGTCTCCACTGCCAAATGTCAGGAGTTTGGACGCTGGTACAAGAAGTATAAGAAAATCAAAGGTGAGCAGTGCTGTGGTCTTCACTGTCTTCACTGTCTTCACTGTCTCCTGACGGGTCTTAAAGTTGACCTGGGGCTCAGGACCCCAACAGAGTGTTGCACAATGATCACTGAGGTAGAACACGATTCTAAAACATTAAAAACTTCTGTATTGAACTTTAAGAAACAATCTGAGGAGGGACAATCTGTCTCGACACTGTCCGACTCACGACGGAACGTTTGAGAAAGGATCTAATTCGACACAGCAGAACCAGAGATAACTCCACATAATTCTTCCTTGTTATAACTCGGTGTCTGTATTACCCACAATGCAAGATTCATAAAGATTGTGTTACGTGAGGTTAATGAAGCGTGGGGCCTGGAGCCTGAGGCAGCGTCGAGGTGTGAGCTCCTCTTCCTAACTCAAGAATCATCTTTTTTAATCTGTCCTACTCGTGGTCTTCAGGTCTTCACAAAAACCTCTTAAAGCAACTTTTCACTACTTCCACAGACGTGTAATCATGTGTATAATCGATCCCCTTTAAAGGAGACGACATATTTGCATTTACACATATGGTCCGACTAGTGAGTTCCGCCTCTTTCCACACAGACTGTTTACCTACAGGCAACCAAAGCTCAAACCTGATAGGTCGAACTAGAAACAGAAACCAAAAGCTTCCAGCCCCCGAATCTCCTCCCTCACCTACAGACTCTGTATGTTCACATGTAGAATCTGTTTACTCCGTTACCACGGACGGGTTGACAGTTACAGACGCGGGGCCCAGAAGGGCAGGGGGCCCCCCCGGGTTCGAGTCCCTGTTTGAAGTTACCATTTCTGTTTGGGAAATGACTCAAAGTGAAAACAAAGAGACACAAACGACCGCAGAGACAAAAGAAGAAACAACTACAAAAAGATGCAAAACAACCACAGAGATGTCTCTTTGAATCTGTGGCTCCTGCTGCTATGGAGGAGGGATGTGGGCGCTTTTACATGTCTGTGCCCACGGGACTATTGTCTCGTAATTCATTGAGAGCAACACCATAGGAACTGTGCCCCCCCCCCCCTGAAAAACTGAACTACTTACTGGAGCTACTGAGGGTTTTCTCGCTCAAGTTTGCAGTCGTGGTAAATAAAATATATAATTATCAGAGGCCGGAAACACCACGTTATCGCTCAAACTACAGACCGAGACAGTTTCATAGTCTTCACCACAGACAAGCTGAGAGAACTGAGGTCAATTCTAAATGTGGACGATCAGTTATCAGTTCCATGTTGGTCTTGTTTCTACTGTGGTGCATTTAATGGTGAAATTCCGCTTAACTATAAATTGAAACCTATGCTGTCTCTAATTATTGTAGGATGGCGCTCCCATTAATCACTTCACAAATATGAATCCGGCTTCAGGCATAAAAAAACTGCGAAGACGAGTAGAAGTGAACGTGGTTTTGTTTAAAAGCTGTGATGCCACAATCTAGCGTAGTGGCGAGTTTTACAAGGATTCTATTTCAAATAAAATATTCAGCGACACAATCCTACGACTTTTCTTAAACAAGTCGTCTGTGATGTGTCACGACCGGTTCGTCGACCACATCAGCCCGTCCCGCTCCACCGTCACCTCCCAGGAAGCCGCGCTTTAATCTTCACATTAAAAGGCTGAGGCTGGAGAGGAAGTGAGAGAAGATGAGGTGATGACGGAGTCTGACAGAGGGAGGAGAGTTCGGTTGCGCTCTGCGTTTCCAGCATTAGTTCAGCTCTTCAGCAGGACTCCGCTCCAGATGTCAACACACTCAGAAGGCTCATATCAGACAGCGACACATGTCAGAGTCCTGAAGCTCAGGATACAAAAGTGAATTTATTTTCATTCATGTATCAACTGTTTTTGTGTCTGTATATCTGAAACATCACGATGATGTTTTTCTGTCTGTTTCGTTGAGCAGTCGATTATCTGGAGAAGATGTGGTCTGGACGAGACGCTGCTGACATCAAAAGTAAGAAATCTGATCAGTCTTTCTGACGCCTATTCCTTTCTTCTACAACTTCACATATATATATATATATATATATATATATATATATATATATATACATATATACAGTACAATCACTACTTTTACGTAATACTTCTTTCCTCTTCGTTCCTCTGCAGTAGAGAGAGACAACATGGCAGACTTCTGTGTGCTGGGTCAGAGACCACCTCCTCACCTGGCCGGCCTGGCCCAGCTCGGTCACCTGGGAGCGGGTAGTCCACTCCTGAAATCTGGATCTGGAGATCTGTCCTCCCAGCCACTGCAGCAGCCTCCACCTCCCCAGCAGCAGCCCTCGCCCCACGGCCCCCTTCATCACAGCCCTCCTCTGCGCACGGGCCAGGTGCCTCCTCCGCCCCCTCCGCCCCCGCCCGGTAGCCTGCAACCCCTGCTGGGGCCAGGTGGGCTGCTGTCGCCTCAACTGTCCCCGCAGCTGGTACGTCAACAGCTCGCCATGGCCCACCTCATCAACCAGCAGCTAGCCGTAAGCCGCCTGCTGGCCCACCAGCACCCGCAGGCCCTCAACCAGCAGTTCCTCAACCACCCACCCATCCCTCGGGGCTCGTCCAAAGCTGGCGGCGACCATCCAGGGAGCAACCCCTCGGCCGCCGAAGTCTCCTCTGAAATCTACCAGCAGGTCAGAGACGAGCTGAAGAGAGCTAGTGTCTCCCAGGCCGTGTTCGCCCGTGTGGCTTTCAACCGCACACAGGTAGGAAAACAGAGACAGACTGTGGTCAAGACGGTTAGGAGAGCGCAGGGAAAGAGTGACAGAGGGAGAAGAGCGGCGTCAAGGATAGAAAACTCTAGATAGAAGAGATATGTAGATGGATAAAGAATTAGCCGATGATAGGAAATCTAAACATGAATACATCACATCCTGTGCCAGGCAAGAATCAAACTATCCACTCACTGCTTGTAACTGCAACACATCAGGTGAGGGTTCATTCTTTCTGACTTGATAGAGATGATGTCACTGATAGGCTAATTTTGTGGTCACCCACCTCATGGTATTTTCAGTGGGATTAGTGGAAACATGGCAGGGTGGCGTGCTGGGTCATTGAGTCTCCATCGCCGCCCTCACAGCCGCACAATTACCTGATGCATTCATGCTGTGCTAAACTTTTTACCATACGCCCCATTAGATCAATGTAATGGCAGTTGGCTCATTGACGTACTGGTAGAGGCCAGGTGTGTGTGTGTGTGTGTGTGTGTGTGTGTGTGTGAGAATGTATACATGTGTGTGCCAGCGTTCAGCCCACACGCTTACATTCTTTATCAGAACTCATTTTCAGATCATAAAAAACTTTTACTAAACAACACAAGGGTTTCCTGTACAAGTACTACACCTAGGTACAAATTTGAAGTACTGGAACTTTAATGGAGTATCTTCTGTTAATTCCATTTTATACCACTGCTAACTATTGACTGTTACTTTGACTAGTTAATTAACAGGATATCAAATCTGCAAAGTAACTAGTAGGTTGAAGAGCTTATAAAATATGATGCACTGTTGTAGATTAAACTACTCGATTGTATTTAGTGAAATGAAACAATTATTGGATTGATTGATTGTTTGACGTTTGGAAACTATTTTGATCTTCATCTGATCCCTTTTCCTCCAAAAATACCCCAAACAATTAGATTCAATTTCCTGCTTCTTGCTTCTAATGATAAAGGATAAAAAAAAGAGGTATTTTCAATTTACAGATGAAATGGTTGAATCAATGGACTTTAATATGACGGAGTATAGGGCTATAGTGAGGAAAGAAATTCCGGGAAGTCGTAATTTAATGAGATTTATGAAAATGAGGAGACCAAACATTGAGTATTTCATTATTTGTGAAACTTCTATTAAAGTTGAAGTTAAGATGCAACACATTCCTCTTTTTAACACAGGTGACATCTTCTGACGACAACAGTTATTCCTTCATTCTTTTCCTTCATGTGGCCCTAAAACTCCATATTAATCTAATCATTTGCTGATCGAGTGTTTAACTTGTTTTTTTAACCGTTAATTTTCATGATTCCTCAAGAAGAAAACGTGAAAAGATGCATTGGGATGATCCACTTCAATGCATTAGTTTGCCTGATAGGAACAGAGGGTCATAGTGTAACTGTGTGTTTGTGTCGCTCAGGGTTTGCTGTCAGAGATCCTGAGGAAGGAGGAGGACCCTCGCACAGCCTCACAGTCGCTGCTGGTCAATCTCAAAGCGATGCAGAACTTCCTCAACCTGCCCGAGACCGAGAGAGACCGGATCTACCAGGAGGAGCGAGAGCGAACCATGAACCCTTCAGTCGGCCTCCCTGCCTCCAACTCCTCCAACCCCGGCCCTCCACGCCTCTCACAGGTTGGTGAACCTTCAGCCACGCTCCAGCGTCACTTCCCACAGCTTTTCCAAAATGGTTGATTCGATGGTTGATACGAGTAACCATAGAGATTTGAACATTTGATGGTAACATGCCACGTGTCTTTGTGTGTGCATAGAAAGTGTGGGAGAGAAGCTTGGATGACCAGATAACCCCTGATACCTGGGCCTCCATCTGGAAGAACAAGACTAAGATCTCGAACTCGGTGAGTTATCTTCCATCTTCACCTCGCCCTCACCGCAGCACGCAATGCACTTTGTCTTTTTTTTTTTTTTTTGCCATTTATAATGGGACAACAGCTTCAAAGCTATCATAGCAGCATATTGTAAACATAAAGGACATTACACAGTATTTGGAAATGTCTTTCCATGTGCGCAAAACAATTTAGCAATGTCAGTGATAAGAAGCTCCCTCTGATGTCAGGGCAAATGCCCATTCATGGCTCTGGGCGAATGTGCTCGTGATTCTTATTATGTCTATGTAAAATTATCTCAGCATCGTTTACACTGAGGGAATGTAAGCTAGCTGGTCTGTACATGTCTTGTGGACGACTTCAAACACTGTGTATACAAGCCGTCTGAGAGCCAATACATGTTCGCTCAAACAGAAACAACAGAGAACGACAAAAGAAACGGACTTAATGACTTTGATCTGTAAACAAAAGTCATGTGGAGACGTGCTCTGCAGATGTGCGGCCCATGCTCGTACGGCGAACACTGCATGTCTGTTCACGGAGACTGATCATCAGCTGATAACCTTGACTCATACGTATACACAAGATTTGCTCTCGTGTGTACATCTCTGAGTAGTTTTACGAAACAAATCCTTTGAAATTGCAGCAGAACCCTTAAGTGCCTTTGTGATCGTTGACAGTTGTTACTCACTGTGCAGTAAATCACGCCGTGCTCGTCTCTTCCAGCCCAAGCCGTCCGGTCCGGCCCCCGACCTTCCGCTGAAGCTGGAGTCGCTGGTTAACATCACGTCGGGCGTCTACGATGAAATCCAGCAGGAGATGAAGAGAGCGAAGGTGTCCCAGGCTCTGTTTGCCAAAGTGGCCGCCAACAAGAGTCAGGTGAGGGAGTCACTGTGAGAACAGAAGATATGATGACTGAGATCAGCGTTCACTGACATTTGGATCTGCAACTTCTTTCATCAAGTTTTTTTCCGACCCGATCCTCAGATCGACACTGAATCTCTCTAATAGTCTCTGTGTCTCTCAGATCCCGAGAACCGTTCATCGAATCATCTTCACACACGTGTGTATTGTTAAGGGCCCCGGGACGTGCAGTGTTGAGTTTGGACAAATGATACGTTCAATATTAATAAACTTTGAATAAATAGCTGACCAGCAGCTGCATCTCTGACTCATCATCATGACGAGAACTGATCCTTCAGTTCCGTGGTTCTAAGTCCTGCGTCCAGCTTTTGAAAAAACACGTGAGCGAGTCTTTGTGCAGCAGATGTGGAACAGCTTCACGGTCTCTATTTGCTGCAGGTCACTTTGACAGTTTGAGAAATAAAGCTGCGAGCAGCATCACCACAGGTCAAACAAACACCGCATTCCAAACAGACTTTACAACTGTCACTACACTGACGAAGGGTCGGTAACGATTTTAAAATATAATAATAAAATTCAGCACACAACATGATGCCAGGACTATTCATTCAATAAAGATTTTTACAGAACGACGAAGGAACAAACAACACGTTTCTCTCTCTCGTCGGTCCGTCCTTTTCAAACGGGTCCTTCCTTCTTTTTTCTGAAATAGTTTCGATGCTTTCACAGATCAGAGAACTGCAGGTTTAACCTCCACCTGTCAGAGGAATAGAGAGTCAGTATCTACGCAGCCTTCAGCTCCGCACGGCTGCTTCTGAAGCACGATTACTCTTGATGCACAGTGATACTTGAAGCACCTAAATAAAGACATTCATATTTATTTTTATTTTCTCTTGGTTTGTGTTACGGCAGCTTGAGACTCCTCCTCCTCTCTCTAAACCTAATACATGTTTGTTTCCCTCCTCGGGCTGAAATCAAGAACTGAATTAAAAAGAAAATGTGGAGAAACAAAAACTCTTCACAGATTAAATCTGTATTGAACAAGAACAAATCTCAGGAGGCGACGGGAGCTGAACTTAATCCCTTCATTTACGAATTGCATTCATTCAAACTTGTGTCACACGGTCGAGTGTGTCAGGACAGTAGCATGTGGCCGAGGGTGCCAGGTGTGTGTTAAATATGTGCATCCTGTATACAGTATGTGTGTGCGGTCTGCGTGGTCTCCCAGGTCGGTGGGTCCGGGGGTGGCTCGGGGTCACGGCTCAGTGCACCCATCTGCTGCAGCTGGCCACAAGGACGGAGAGCGACGGAGAGGGAGAGATGATCAGGCTATTATCGGTGCATGCTGCCCGAGGTGGCTGGTTGAACACAACAGCTGGTGTCACAAACCGAACCAGTCTAGCAGATATAATCAAATCTCCTCCATCAGCCCCAACCCCCATCTTCCTCTGCGACATTCACCTCACGCACTTCCAACTTGCTAATTTCAATTCTGCTCTCGATACTTTATCTCCTCACAATTCACAGGTTTTCTTTATGTACCTAAAATTATTTTTTTCTGGTGGGTTAAGTTTCTGTTCTTAGACTCCGCGGCTGTAAGGGTTCCCTAAAACAAGAAATACAAAGACGGCCCCTGGCGATATTCTCTCCTCAAAATTTCATGGAAATCTGTCCGGTAGTTTTTGTGTAACCTTCTAACACAGATGAAAACACCTCGGTGAAGTTGATTATCCCTTAAACATCTGGCTGTTTGTGAACCCACCTGCTTTCCGTGTCCTCTTCCAGGGTTGGCTGTGCGAGCTGCTGCGGTGGAAGGAGAACCCCAGCCCGGAGAACCGCACGCTGTGGGAGAACCTGTGCACCATCCGGAGGTTCCTGGCGCTGCCGCAGGCCGACAGAGACCTGGCGTACGAGGAGGAGTCCAGACACCATCACTCCGAGAGGCTGCACACCGTCCTCCACCTGCCGCAGGACACACAGGTAAAACCAGATATTCACTACATGACCCTCACAAGTATTTTCACTTTACTTTTCCAGAACTACAATCACCTGACAGCTTTATTCAGATCTGAAAAATTGGAAAACTTTTGTTTGACAATCAGAATTGATTGACAGATTAATTAGCAACTGCCTTTAAAGTTATTCAGCCCATTTTATTCTTTCTCTTCATATATTTTAAGATTTCCTGCTTTTCTCTCCGATAACTTTTATTAACTGAAATTTAGTTTTAATGAACAATTCTGAGGTTTGGACAGTTGGTTGCAAAGGGTGGCATTTAAAGACAGAACAATCAATCACTGAGTCAAGTAAGGATTTATCAAATAATAATAATATTATTTACATATGAAATCAACTATAATGGTAAAATGCTGCTCACACATTAGTGTAATAATCAACCCTAACCCTATAAAAACACCAGTTACAGTTAAAAATGAATCTGCTTTGAGTGGGAATAAAGTACATCTACAGTCTAATATTAGTACTTTAATTGACGTATAAAGTTTATCACCAGTTCATCGTGATTTCTGTTTTGATTTTTGCTTCAGATTAAAAGTTCTCTGGTGTTTAAGTAGCACAGGTTTGTACACAGGTTGAGCGTTCACCTCCCACACGTACAGACACACAGTCGTGCTTCCACCGACTGAGTGAAAGAAGTGTGGAACTGGTTCTCCTCCCTCACAGACCACACCTGTCATTACTGTTTACTTATTATATTCATTTCGTGTCCAGCGGCGTTTGATCTCGTTGTGTGTGCACATGTGTTTGTGTGTCTGTGCCCCAGTGGAGCGCAGAGTAAACAGAGTTGCTGGGTGGTGTGGCACAAGAGGAAATGCCCCATTAGTTTTTGAGGACGGAGGCAGAGGGAGGCAGGAGATCGATGCAGGAAACTCACTGATGTGCTGGCCTCTTTCATTAACTGTCCATAATGAACCCACCCTGTCTGTCTCTCTCTGACTTTTTACTGCCCCACAGCTGTAAAGATAAAACCTTATCTACTACTGATCAGAAGCTGCAGATACAGCAGAAATATAAATATGAACAATAGTTTTACTCATAGTCATAGTTTTTATTTTATTGCTGTGCTGCACATTTGTTTTTAATTTGAGGACGTTAACAGTTTTATAGACAGTCTCAGTGAAACAATCAAATTAAGCTACATGAATAAAATGATAATTATCTAATAAATACAATATTAACTGTTGATAGATGTTGAACTAGCGACAACATCTCAGACCAAAACTAGAAGAGAACTCTGTGAGCACATAACTGACCTGGCCTCTTTATCAGCATTTTGAAAATAAACGTATTGAGATTAAATACATCTGGATCATTATCCGGATCGCAAGAAATGTCAACTGTTCATAGATATTAACACTTTACATGTGTCCGGTGAAGATTCGTGAGTTATTTCTCGAGAAATTTAACAAAAATGTGGAAAAACACTCCATTTCGTAATGTTACGGAAAGTGAAAAAAGAATTCCTGGATTTGCACCAAAATGAAATGAGTGTTTGCAATGTGGGAAATTCTCATGTTTATTTGAGCTGTTCCTTTAAATCCAATGAGTCCAGATCAACGACAGCGGAATGTGTCACTGTCCGACTCCTGATTGACGGAGCAGAGGTCAAAGGTCAGGATGAGACGCTGCTCACGTACATTGAAGCCTGGTGGGTTTGAGCCTATAGAGACGGCCTCTCTTAACCACCACCGCCCCCCCCCCAGTGCAAACCTATTATATACCACATATAGTATATTCCATATGTCATAAATCAAAACCAGGCAAAAGCTGAAACTTCGACACAGATCGCAGAGGTTGTTTTTTGTGGCTCCGCCCACCTCCACTCCACCGCCAAGTAATTTTATTCTTTATTTAAACCGTTCAGCTCAGAGCTGTGTATTAAAAGGCTGATGGGAAGTCGGGGAGGAAGCTGTGGTGGCACCATTAACACATTCCTCTGCTCCTCTCGCACTAAAAGACTAAAAATAAAGTTTAACCTCATAACGCCCATGTTGTAACCCCCCCCCCCACCCCACCCACATCGAGAGACACGGGGAGATGAACTGTGGCGAAACGCTGGTGATTTATTAATGGGAAATGAGGTGTGTGTGTGTGTGTGTGTGTGTGTGTGTGTGTGTGTGTGTGTGTGTGTGTGTGTGTGTGTGTGAGACTGTCTTCAGGACCCCCCCGCCCCCCGTCTCAGATGAAGCCCCCACCAACCTCAGGCTCCAGCCGGCCTGCCACCACAGACCACACATGTGTCCCATCTGCCGCACATACACACAATCTCACACTGATAGTCAGTAATCTGAGCGCTCTTTTGTGTTTGGACAATAAGAGGCTTTCTAAAACTGTAACAACCGACCACATGAAACATGAATGTGTGTGTGTGTCTGTGTGTGTCTTTGTGGACTGGACACTATGTGCTGTACAGTAGCGTGAGACATTTCTGCATGCCAGGGGCTCTGGGAGATCTCTGACTGTGTCTATTAAATCTGCAGGTGCTGTGTGTGTGTGTGTGTGTGTGTGTGTGTGTGTGTGTGTGTGTGTGTGTGTGTGTGTGTGTGTTCATGTCAGCAGCATCACATTTCTTCATGACTGACACGGTCCTGGTGCTCGCTCCACAGCTCTTATTCATACGGCTTTAGCAGTTAAGTGCGTCCCACAGCTAATTTGGCAGAGTCTGCCCTTATAAATTATTTCTTTATTGTTTTTGCTAAATTGATTTCTGCTGCAAGTCAAGGGTGTGTGTGTGTGTGTGTGTGTGTGTGTGTGTGTGTGTGTGTGTGTGTGTGACCGCTCGCCGTGGCTGAGACCCCAGGAGTGGTGGACTAGAACAAGTAGTAACAACGACAGCCCTCGTCCTCTCGTCCTCTGTCTTTGTGTCTCTCCTCAGTTAAAAAGGTGCTTCACTGGCCTCGCATACAAAAGGTGCAGCAACAAATCGCTGCTGTCAAAACATTTCAATCCTCAGCGGACGCCTCTGAAGTGTGTTAATGTTACAGCGAGGAAAGAAGAGAGTTGTCTCTCGAAGGAGGATTATGAGCTGTTATATAAAGTTAAGCTACGACCATCGTCTGTATTTGAAAATGGACGTAGACTCCGGCTCTGGCAAGTGAAGCTAATGCTTAAGTGCCTGAAACCTGTCTTCTCTCCATTGCCCAGCAGGGGGCGACTCCACTGGTTATTTCTATAGTAGTCTATGAGGCACTGACTCTTCTTCTCACTGGATTAATAACATCGGAAAACATTTTACGTCTCAATCTCTAGTTTCAAGTTTTCTTCAATACAGCTGATGTTCATTTTGTAAATCATGATCCATTTAGAGTCAAGTAGACCATAAATCACCGTGTGCAGCGGGGGCGTGGACACCACAGTGTTATGGTTCATGTTCTCGGTCAGGACAAAATGTCAACCTCGACGCTTCAATAATTACAAAATATCTGTGATTTCCACGTCCACAAAACTGAGAGCAGCCGAGCAGAGGCTGAGACGTTCCGACCGGATCGAGCTTCGACTCCCCCGGCTCTAAATCTTTCTCTGACGCAGGCTGTGAAACGCCACACCCCTCGTTACAACAGCGTTCTGTTAAAAAAGTCTCCGAGCACAATCCAGGACACCCCCCCCCGATGACATCATCATCACGCACTATTCTCGGAACCCTCCATCCAGAACCACCAGTTTTCACCAGCTCAGCAGAACCTCAGTGATCAGGTCCAACAGCTGGAAGAGTCACCAGTTATCTATTGAGTGAACGTTGTGGTTTTAATCTCAAGAGAGTGTTAGATTCAAAAAATATAGTGCGATCATTTTTAATATCATTTTAATGCCCAGCCTCAAATGTAATAACCATTGTTTGCAGCCGTGACATGAGATGATGGAAGAGTAAAAATATTCTTTCTCTGTTATTCTATTGTTTTTAACGATTATCCATAATTTGTTTGTCATCTTCATTCGTCTCCGTTGAGAGGAGGCGGAAGAGTCTCTCTCTCTCTCTCTCTCTCTGTTTCTACATCCCGGTGGCCTCGTACTCCCTGTAGCAGGGTGGAGTTTGGGCTTTTTGGCGAACCACAATTAAGTTAATTGTTTAATTGCAGATAAATGGAATGAATACCACACACACAGTTTGAATGAAAAAAATATGCAACAGCTCGAGTGTACACACACACACACACACACACACACACACACACACACACACACACACACACACACACACACACACACACACACACACACACACACTTAGAATGTGCTGTGCTCCCAGCTCGCCTCAATAACATTACGTGTGTACAGTATTTCATCAATGACGCATTATTATATACAAAAAAAAATTAAAATAAAAAAACTGTCACTGTGCAGTGACTCATTTACTCCCTCAGCCTGGATCCAGTCCTCCAGAGTCACAGTCACACACACTTCAACTGAGTGAAGGAACGAGGGACCGAGAGAAAGAGAAAATAAAAACATATCTCGCTGATTAACAGGAAAGGTGAAGTCATGCACAAAACTGAGAGAAAAGTTTTTTTTTTTTTCTTTCTTCATTACATATTTATCTCTGTGTTAATGGTGTCTCCAGGGGTCACACACACACACACACACACACACACAGCAAAACACACACAGAAAGAAAAAGAGAGAGAGAGGGTTTAGGGGCCCAGGAGGACCAGAGCTCATTAAGGAGAAGATGAATATTTCATGTTCTATAATTCTTTCATAGTTCTGCGTCGTAATTTGCCTTGATTTACGTTTAAAAGAAAACTTTTTCATTTTACTGCAGTGCACTCACGGCACTGCCAGGAGAGAGAGAGAGAGAGAGAGAGAGAGAGAAAAGAAAGGGTGAGATGGAAAGAAGGGAAGAAAATAAAAGAGCAGAAGTTTTTCAGGAATATTGAATCATGCCACGAGAAGAGCCGGCCCGGCCGCAGGGCTCCAGTGCTTGTGGTTTTGGGAGAGCGGGGCTGTATTGTGTTGCTCTGAAGTGACATGGAGTCTCTTCCAAAAGACGCGTAACGGTCAGAGATGAGGAGGAGTTAGAGGAGGTGAAGGTTCTTTTTACATCACATTCTTCACTTGTCCAGAATCAAACAGAGATTCTGTCAGTGCAACAGTTTTTTTAAAATGTGAAATATATAGAAAATAAATAATAGAATAGAATCAATTTTAAGCGTTTGAAGCAAATATTCATTTACATTACTTAGTGAAAGTATCAGGGCCACTTTTAACAATCCTACTTATATTTAAACATATATTTATATCCAGGTTATTATTGTAAAATGCTCCAATGTTCAGAAAACACATCAGTGTCCTCAGACTGTCCATTGCTGCAGCTCCTCTTTTCAGCCTCTGTCTCCAACACTTCGTCCAGTCCTCTAAATCTTAAGCCTTATTTTTTTAATCAAGATAAATTTTGGTGAGATCAGGGATCATCTGAACATTTGAAGGGGAAATGACGCTTTCATGAAAGTGACAGCAGCTCATATATCTGAGATGTGAAACAGGGTCCGCAAAAAAAAAAGAATCTGAGAACCACTGGTTAAAGCAAAGGGACGGAGGAGGCAGAGAAGACTGGAGGTGTAAAAAGCGGGACAGGCAGGGGTGAGGAGGAGCTGAGGGGAGGAAGGTGGAGGACGTAGGGAGGTGGACGGGGGAGGTGGGGGGGGCTACTGGCATCCGCCTTTCTGTGGGCTGATTTGGACGTGGAGCCATGTTGGCAGAGGCCCACTTCATTAGTGTCCTGATGCATTAGACCTGAGTGGAGGAAAGAGAAAGAAGGAGAAGACAATAAAAACAGGGGGAGATTTGTATTGAAGAAGAGGAGGAAGGGAGGGAGGGGGAGGGAGAGAGAGAGAGAGAGAGACGAGGAGATAAAGTCTGAGTCCAGCCCTGTGTGTTTGGCTCTGCTCTCTAACATCATCATTAGTACATGAGGGAGACCAGGCCTTGCCGTCCAAGTGTGCATGTGTGTGTGGCGATTGATCCAAGAGTCCTCGCTGTCAGCCCGAGTAAGAGAAGAAATGATGAAGCTCTGTGAATGGAGAGAGAGAGAGAGAGAGAGAGAGAGAGGGGGGGGGGGGGGGGGGGGGGGGGGGGGGGGGGGGGGGGGGGGGGGCTGTGTGTGCTGGGAGGGGGTGGAGACGAGAGGTTTTGCAATCCCCTCCACGATTTACCCACAATTTAGTTATTAAGTGTCTCAGTGAGATTGTTGGGGGGGGATGTTTGTGGCTGTGTGGTCCTCGTTAGGACAGGGGTTCATATCTTTTCTCCATGTCAGTGACTCTCTCTCTCTCTCTCTCTCTCTACCGTCTTCTCTCAATATCTAAAACCGTCACGTGGAAGAAACAGAAGATTCAGCGGAGGGAGAGAGAAAAATGACACACACAAAAAAAAAAGGGGAAAAACCTCCTGAATTCCTGTAAATTGGTTTCTCTCCCCTCCTCGCCTCACCCAGGAAAATAAAGCCCCTGCAAATAAAATCGCAGCAATTTCATGGTCTGGCCTGCCCTCAGTATTATTTAAGTAATACCCTGTTATTATTGAAGAGAGGGAGAGAAAAGCGAATGACTATTATCTTTATGTGGGTCCTTTAATTTTAATGCGCCACAGATTTATAGCTGGGCATTCCAGTGGGGAGGCCCCTCCCTGCTCTTAAAGCGAGCGGGCGGGACACGACCGCAACGCTCTCACAACAGCCACTACCTCCTGACAAACAACCAGAGTCCCCACTTTCCCTCCCAACACTTCAGCCTCCTCGCTGCTGTCACACAGACACGCCGCTGACGGCCCCACCCATCACAGGAACAAATGCATTTCTCCTCCTTCACTCGTTATTTAAAAACCTCACACCTTCGTGAGAGGTCCAAAAAAAGAGCGTGAAAAAATAAAAAAATGTGCTTCCTGCTTCCTTCCATCAAGTTACCTGATAACTAATCCAGTGGTTTTCTGCTAAATAACAGACAGACGAAGACAAAACCTCGTTGACTCACGCTCTCCTGCAGATTCCCGGTTCTTGACGTGAAATCAATTTAGTTGTTTTTGAATAATCCTGCCTGAAAACAAACGGGGGGTAAAAAATAAAAAAAAACCTTTCTGCCACTATTTGAATTCAGGTTATTTTAATTCTTGTCTCGTAAACGATGAATGTAAAAGATTAAAAATAAAGATATGAGCATAACAACTTAAGTCGTAAACAAATAAACAACTTATTTTTGCTTTTAGAAAGTAAATAAACACTTTTTTTTCGGTGTGTAACCTGCACTCCTCGAACAGATTTTCAGCTTCATTCACTTTTTCCTGCT